CATTATCATTTTCGATAACGTGTTTAGAAGTGGGCTCACACTACCCAAAGGAAGTGGTAGCGATGAGTGTAGGGAAATCGTATCGTATTGCTGCTGATTGCTACTGATGGTCTGCAACATAAATAACCCTAATTTTTGTTTCCCATATTAATTATATGGAAAGTACTGAGGAGGGATGGTGCAGTGGAAAGTGGCGCATTATCACTGTAGTCCGCATATCTCGGATCGATATCCGCTTAAGCCAATTAAGGCTTGCATCTTCCCGTTATCGATTAACTGTCACCAGAATCGTCTGGGACGATAAAAGCGTCTACTGTTCACACTTACATTTACTTTACGTCAGCTGGCTACCGAAAGTCATTGTATCGGTCACATGCGCATGTAGTACGCCACTATTCTGAATGGAAGTCGAATGCAAGGGCCATTCCAAAAAGGGATCATCATCAAAATTTAACCCTTATTCTCGAACGAGCTTCGCCAATCTAGTTCCGTAATTCTCATTACTGAATATACAGTGAGCGACTTCGAACGCTCTTCTTGTCATTCGGGCGCAACCCTTAACACATTGACGTCCCGATAAGATATGCGTTCATTGCTTCGAAAACATCGTTGGAAAATTGAACACAACATCAGAAAAAGGATTGCAATTTGTTGTGGACGATCACATCACCCTCCACGCATCTTATTTTGACGGATGGGTTCAGTTCAAAGTGGCAAATGTTGATCGTTTTGCAGAGGTGAAGATGGTGCACCTACCTCATAGGATGGACAAGAAATCTCTAACTTACCTATGCCCTACTGCATGTTCATCCCTAATCGCGAGCGCACGACTAATCACTTTTGCGTGACCGAGTAGCTGTCTTCGGTCTCTCCTTGGCTACAACAATTATGTTATTATATTGTCCAGTAAATCGCGCATTGAGCACCGTCCTCTCCTATGACTACAATAAAGTGCCATATAGTAAATGCACAACGCTTTGTCAATGAGTAAACACAGTATGATTTGCGTTTATTTGTTAACTTTCTGGGAGATTTATGCATTAACTACTTATCAATTACGTAGTCCACGCAATGTCTACCTCGTTTCACTTCCTAACTTAACGTAATGTTCAAAAAGGATTAATTCTCAGTGAGCAGCAAGCGTCGATATGGTGAGTTCTGCAGCTTACTAGTTAGGTTGCGCATTTGGTGTAGATCAAGCATGCCCTATAAACGAGTAAATACAGTAAACAGTTAATGATTTGCTAGCTTCTCCCATGTGACAACTGGTTGGTAATTCTGCCCATTTCATAAGTCATGGCACACTGTTTACAAAAATCGGTCGCAAAATAAGTTTTCATTCTAACACATGAAAATTTCATATTTTCCAAAATTGCCAACGAAAATCGCTTTCGTCTTGAATCATGAATTGAAGAATCGTGGTTTTTTGGTGAATGCGACTCATACAAATCAGGTTTTTCTTTTGGTGAGTGCTGCGACATATGCGATCACCGGTAAGACACAGTACTAATACAATAACACATTCAACAAATAAAACTGCACTCAAATACGAGGGAACTTGTGTGAGCTGAATAAGTTTCTGAGAATCACAAACCATTTCCAAAAAAAAAAAACAATTCTCAGATTGTTAATCACAAGTGATTTTTGTGAAATTATGATAGCCTTACTTGAAAATACTTAATTTTGCAGAGACCAACAGGGCAGCTACAAATAGTGGCGTCAGTGAATCTCGTTGACGTAATTCAACGTCGTCATGATCGTGAGGAGCGAGTACTTTCATAACTTTTCCATTTCTTCTGTGAGCTTTTCGATCTCGCTCTCATATTCCGTCTTACGACCGACTTTTGCAATTTGGTTCGGCAACGGAATAATTTCACCACTGTTTATCCGTTCCTAGAAATTATTTTTGTGAATTACAGTGTCTATCTCATACGTCATACTTAATAGTCAGTTTCCGCTTACCTCAAGCTTTGCTATTTCTGTCAATTTTAACTTTACTTTGTCGATTTTCTTTTGAATTTGTTCCTGTGGGGTTATAGCCGCCTTTGGTTGGAATACAGCTGAATATTTCTTCGTATGTTTATGAGTAGTTGTGAAGATGTACGAATTAACCAACCTGCTATAGGCTTACGAGGTCCAGCAGTTGCTTGTTGCATGTTTCGTGGAGTCATTCCTACAACCACTCGGCCGCGAGCTGATGCCGCTACTTGGCTTGGATTTTGATACTTTGGTTGTTCTTCTTGTGGAATGTACCTGGAAAAAGCCTTCTTTCGAACAGACAGTGACCGCCAGCGGATGTGGAGTGGTGCCAGGTAGCGCTGCTTCCAAAAGCACGTTATCGGCATTGAATTCCAAGAAGAAACCCAACTTGGTCAACCAAGCGAACCATTCTTTGTTTATCAGGACAGAATTCTTAGGAGGTTTAGAGAAAAAATCATTGAGTTTCATACTGCATAGATCTGGAAGTCATTGAAAGTTTCGATATACATTCAAGGTCTATATGATTCTGCTCTCCAGCTTTTCTGAAATTTTGTTCCCTTCCTCTTCTTCTGTNTGTTTTAGTAAGAATAGGTAGTGATATTAGGATTGTCGGCCTTACTCTAAAAACGTAGAAGTGATTTCACAAAAACGCTTTTGAAAAGCCGAAAGCTTGTATTTGCGATTTTCGTCATCTAGTTCCTTCACCCATTCCCAATTTTCCAAAAACAAGGCCTAGAAATAAGTGCCATCTTTTATCGAAATCTGTTCAGGAGAGGGTTATCTTGCTGAATGCAAAAACAACATGAAAATTGTAGTAGTAACTGAAAGTAAAGTTCAAAAATTCGTTGCCGTAAAAAATCATCGCTGCAGAATAAGTTCTAAAAATAAAAACACATCCACAGTTGTTCAGCTCCAATTGTACACAATGTGAAGAAGGGCACCTAAGTTCCTAGCAACGTAAAACTGTTAGATGATCACGGTGGGTACGACTTTAAATGAAAAGGGGGTCATCGCAGCCGTTAACGTGCTTTTGAGTTAAAAATAGTCATCCCTTGTAGTATTTACAGGATAATTTGCCGTCACATACTTAGTAAATCAAGAAGGATAAAAATATGCAATGCATTTCTAACTTTTCCAGAGAAGTTAAGTAACACACCCATCCTTCACGCGACGTGCTTTTCGCCATGTCCCATCCGGTCTTTGAGTAGCCGCAATGAAAGTTTCACCTGGCATTAAAAGATCCGATCAAATATAGGTTTGTTGGACAGACAAACAATAAGAGACAGGACAATAATTTAACACAACAGAAACTTTCATTGATTAATGTGTATAACGAAACAGAAAATAAAACAGAAAAAAGGTAAAATTACTGAGATAACAAATGCAATTTAACTGACCTTGACTAGTCCTTATACGAGTATCACCTCCATCCTGTTTATTGATGGCTGATGATGCCATATAACTGATACAAATAAATACGGTAACATTGTAAGACATTAAAATTCGAGTTTACTCACTATAATTATCTGGTAAAACCGATAAAACACATCCAAACACACTGAATGACAATTGAAATACTTTATTTTCATGTTTATCGTAAAATCATAACTATTCACAAGCAACGATTTGTCTACGCATCTACCATAGTCATAGGAGATCCACTGAGGAAATTTGATCCGCTCAAACGGTTAGCATATCACATCTATGAAGATTACAACGCAAGAGGTTAGACTGGTTGCGGGTAAAGACAATATGGATCCTCAGAGCCCAGAGAAGATTCTATTATGAACCGGTATTGTGGAAATGCAGATGTCGAGAACATGAAGAATATCTCTCACAGAGATTAGCATGTCAACGTTGGTGCTAAATACCTCCTCATAATCTGTCTTATAAATTTGTAGAATGCCCAAAAGTAGTCGTCAGGCATAATGCAAAATACCATGTCACTACTAAGTGTAAAACGAAAAAGGAATGTTAGTACGCACAAGAAAAATCCAATTAAAGGAAGGAACCCCTGAAAGATCTCTGTGCAACTGGCTGATGAAAATCCGGAATTCACTTACTGTGAGACTTCCAAGTCCCGTTAATCAACAGTTCTTCCTTCGTTTTTCCAAAGCATGCAGAGAACCGGAAACTCAACTAACCATGAACGATGACGGATTATGAGGTTGTAATTACCACCAACGCTTTTGGCATTCTCTTGGAGATACTCGCTATTACATCTAGCTGCAGTTTCTAGTAAAGTCTGCTCAACATAATCTGGTAAAGTCTAGACAGCATTAAGCACTTGATGAACAATCGATGACACCAGAGATCAGGAGCAAATCACACGAAATTAGTTTTGGTAACTAGGAGGTTTGAGATTTTAGAGCTGAATCGAATGGACTGCCGAGAAAAATCTTAGTTACAAACCTAGCTTGTAAAGAGCTATCTGAATTCTGGCCACTCTGAGTGAACTGACTGTAGGCACAAGGTCTACAAGTGAGAACATAAAAACATGAAAACGAACTGTGAATATGACAAAGAAAAATAGGGGAGCAATGAACGCAGGTAGAATATTTCACAAACCGTTAAGTTAGTTAACTATAAAACATTCTGAAAATTCAGATGCTGATGTTACCATTTGGAATTGAATTGTGTGAAAGGTTTGATATCAGAGAGTTGAAAGTAAAAACAAGAGACTAGACTTTCTCAACCGCTGCATTGTTCCGATTATTGGCGTTGATAGCTCGAGACGCTTTCGGCATACGAGCGCTATCCGGATGCCGGCAATTCGGACAGAACCATTTGCCTTTAGGCTTTGTGGTAAGACCGATGCATTCGAAGTGAAACCATTCGATTTCGCATTTCTCATTGTCACATCCGATCATCTCCCCAAATGATATCTGAGGAATGTATCCGATTAATCTATTTAAACGGAAAAATTTTCTGATAAACAAATTCAAACAACATTTCATGGCTGCAGTAATGAAATAACTCACTCTACTGCAGAAACAGTACGTAGGTTCGTCCTCCTCCTTTGCTTTCACTCGAGGAGTTTTGCTGAGCCTGTTACTTGTCCTTTTCTTGACACCATTCTCCTTCTTTGTCTTAATAGGGAGAAGTCGATCCAACTGATTACATACAGTACAACGCTAACGCACCTTCTTTTCCGTCGGCGTTGAAGTCGGTGTTTGTGTAGCCTTTCGCTTATTTACGACCCGATTATTCGTTGTGACAGGAGTCTCCGGGATGGCATCATCCGAGTTTGTCTGAGCTTGAGGCTGCGCCTAGGAAAATCATAGTTGGTAAACCATCACGGAATAAACATCTGTTTAAAATATTCAACCAGAAATAAGAAGAGGTCAAACATTCGTAAGTGAGGGCCTAACACTTTGACAATCATCAAAAAGGAGACAAGTTTGGAAATGCACAGCCCTCTACAACAGTACCCAAAAAACCTTATTTCGTGAAATCAACCTGGTCCACTGCATCGCAACTTCTTTCCTGATTCTTTAAGTTGGGCTAGGCTTGCCTACCCTCACAAAGAATGATTGTGCATCCGAGCGGAGGATAATCTGGTTTCTACCTAATAAGAGAATCACATGTGAAAAAGCTACTCCTTATCTAAAGCTCCTAGAGACAGTGGTGATATCGTCCCAACATTATTCAAATCGAAATAGTTGCTCAAAAAGTATATTAAGGAGCTGAATAGGAGAAGCTAAATAAGGGTTTCGATGCATATGGGTTCTAAACCTTCGAAGAGCAGCAATATGGGCAAAATCCGAAATCAGGAATTATATAGCTTGGATCATTTCCTCGTTGATTGTGTCATACTCACGGAAAGTCGAGAATTTGAGGACAATCTCACTGCGAATACTGCAATCACTACAGAAAAATCTTCTGGAAATCGCTGCCGTTTATAAAGTGCGCGCCGATACAAAAGTTCCATTTCTAACGTCTTCAGAGGGAGTGATTGGATGCCCGAAAGAAAAGAATTCGCCAAACAAGAACGGTTAAACATTCACTTAGCAACTATACAGCTCAAAACCTATCCGAAAGTAAAAGAAGTTCTCATCAGATCGTTGCAGTTCGTTAATGAAATGCTGTATCTTACTCAAAGAGCATCCCGTTCTATACGCAATGAATACAAACATACTTTAGCAGGTGGAGCTTTCTCTCGCTGACTGGTTCGATCGGATTTTGAAGACGACGGTACATCCTTCTCCTTTCGATCCTTTTTCGTAGTTTTCCCACGTTTAACTGAATAATTAGTGATAATACTATTTAGGGCTCCTGTGACCGAAGAAATAAAAAGTGCTGTATGAATTAGTTCAAAAAATTATAAAAATAAATTAGTGTGGAAGCTAATACAGCCNCACTTGTTTTACAATAGTTCCTTTTTAGTCACTATGAATGAGGTGAATATCTTGTACAATATCACTGATGACGGAAGGTCATGCCTCTCTCTTTTTTTGTGAAACAATGTATGGTCTCTTCCTGTCTTCCTTGTAATTGGCCTTACTTGACTAAATCTTCATCGCTTCTCAATAGTCCCTCCTTCTTCTTTCACGTTTTCGTTTTGCAATTGCTTCCTAAAGCTGGGAAACCCACATTAAACGCTGTCACTTATCTGAGCTTTTTTCTTAAAAACATCTTTTTCTACACAATTTTCTCTTTCCTTTTTTCACGTCGTGACAGCTTTTGTCGATTTTCTTACAACCCTTCGAACTGATCGTCAACTTATGATGTCGTAATTATTTAACTCTTTTATGGAACAGTACATAACAACAGCTTTCGGGCCCCTTTCCAACATCCCAACTTTGGTCCAAACATTTGATGAATTTCAGTAGCCACTTGAATCTCACAAATTTAAATTGAACCTATTTGGCTCTGAACAGCCTTATTAGGAACATTCCTGCGCCTGAGATAGTGGTTCACTGAAGTTGCAGCATCCCATATTTTCTATTTAAACAGAAAGGGAAAACGTAGTTTAAGAGCGCAGAAAGCCTTTGCTCGAAAGGCTCTGCAAAGAACTCAAAAAGTAGTAAGCATTATATACTACACTGCGTCTATATATTGTATGAATATTGAAAAAACAACATTCGCAAAAGAATAGCACGAATTAAAAAAAAGGAATGAACCTTTGACTTCTTCAGGTCGATGCTTCCCTATTTTCTCAAAAACTGCAACAGCCTGCTGCGCAGCGAGATCCCGTGCCGCAAATGCCGCATTTTGGAGGCATATCAAATGATCTTTCAGCTACAAAGAAAGTAGTAAAAAACATTCGAAGACAAACAAATTGAACTTATACTGAAAATACACCGAAAATACTCAGAACAGCTTACCGAAGTGGTTGCTTCTTGCCGTTCTTCTTTATGACCCGGTGGCTCGGGCCAATTAGAAGAGGAAGGAGCTAGTGTCGTTAATGAAGAGATGAGACCATCTATTCGTTCCAAAAGCTTGTGTTGGATTTGTAAAATGTTTTCACGATAGTTGTGCTGAGCGCTGTAAATAAAACAAAAATTTCAGTGAAAAACTCAGTTGTACTTGGTAGTATCTGTCAAAGTCGTCCACATTAAGCCCTATCGAAAAAATTGTCCGACGGCATGGCCAAATCAGTCGTCAACAAGGGTCTCCAATCAACAAAGTAATGCGGTCCAGTCAAAGTAGAAAATATTTCAAAGTCCTCCTCATATGTTGTATATACCAACAATCACCCGACCGGCTCACTAACTAATCCTTATCATCGAGAACAATTGTTGACATTTCATCTAATTCAGAAGGAAATTCATCGACTCTCATCATCAAAGGGTAATCATAGCAACGTGGCTTCTTTAAATCAAATAAACAAAACTGCTGAAGAAAAAGAATTCACCTACAAAACCAAATATTTGTAAAAGAATGATGTAAAATGAAACGATTTCAAGCGGTATATATTTCTTAGGACCGAGAAACTATCTAAGAAAAAAATTTAAGAAGTAAGCCTTGATTGTCTGAAAGAGAATGCTAGCCCGGTAAGCTTCTATTGAGAACGAGCTCATAGTTTTTCTTGGAAACTCGTCCCGAAAATGCAAGTCCTCCTCCAAGTCATGAACAGCTCTAAGTGAAAAAAGGAAATTCCAATATTTAGCTCAAAAATAACATATTCAATAAAAATCCATACTCACTTCCTGTCAAACTCGTTGAGCATTTCCAAAGCCTCACGTAATCGTTCTGATTTGGTACGTTGCGGTGGAGGATTCGCTGAGGGATTCGGAGCCGCCGTAGTGGCTGACGCTGACGCTGACGATGTACATGGCAAATCAGCATCATCAGGTATTTCTCTAGTACTCGTAGCTTCCTTATTTGGTTTAAGTCTGGCATTCGATGGTTTAGATGACGGTGCCGGCGTAGCAGCAGACGCCGGCATGAATTGGTTCGAGAGAACGCGCAGCGGCCGACGCGACAGCCTGATCAAGTACTCACTGAAAAAAGGAACGGACGTGGATCTTGCCATGAAACCAGTAACGGACGCGCGGTTTCGGGAGGCCACGGGTGAAACACAGAAACGCCTCGAACGAGCGAAATTTTGCATCCAAAAAGCAGTTCCGGAAAAATCCCACGAGAGGTAAACGAACGGCACAGTGATAGTGATAATTCATAAGTCTGCCATGATGTGCTAAATTATGCAGCGGGAGGAAGTCTAAGGAATAGAACTTTTGATTAGTGCACTTTTACGAGAGAGAACATTGTTGGGCACTTAAGGAAACATCAATGAAAAGAACTTTTCAAGCATACTCTGCGTTGATGACGTCAAAATACGAAAAATAGATTTTCGTTTTTCTTCCTTCCAATACCAAACCAGAAATGATGAGATACTAAAAATCTAATTTAGAAATCAAAGTTTTCCTTTTAGTGGCCGATTATGCATCTTTCATCGAATAATTGCACTCAAGGGCTTATGACTTGATTAGACGAAAGTCCATGAACCATTGGCCTTAAACAACTGTTTGGGCGAATTTCCATAGATTGGAAGATAAATCTGATAAAAGTGGTTTTGGCAAAAGTCCAAAGATAAGAAATCCTTAAAAGAAACGAAATCAGACGATACAGTGCCTCACGGAGAGGCACGCGAAAACGGCGTCCCTGCCAGCCTTCTCTTCGTCTCCGACCATCGTGCTCGCTCGTTTCTCTGCATACTCTGTCCGGGATGTACTCTCTCATTGGCCCACACTCTGCTTCTCATCACTCTTGCCTGTTGACCGATCACCTACACCGCTCCCATTGCCCGCATATCGTTCGTTTCAGAATCCGATTCACACACTTCCGTAGTAGTAGTAGTAGCACTATTAGATGGCTAGTGTTTACGGGTATGAGCTCCCACACACCACTACTTAGTGGCTGATAGGTCAGGGGGTCTCCAAAGGGGAAAGGGAACAGTTTGCACGTATTCCCTTACTTGGGATTCCATCGATAATGCACTTGGGGTCAGGTGCGGGATGGACACGGTCATTGTTCATCGTTTGCCAGGTGGACGCAGATCACCTGATCACATTGAGAACCTTAGAAAATGACCAACTTGATTGGTTTTGAAGCTTTGTCCCTGGGAACTTTTCCCATGCCTGGTGTATTGGGTGAAATCACGCCTGTCGTCCTTCCAATCGCCTCTTTATGGCCTTTTTTTGACACTCTACCCGTTTCACATTGTGAACACAAGGGCTTCGTGCTGCGGTTTATTGTAGGGGTCCCTGGGGTTGCCCTTGCCTAATCCAATCATTCTCCATTTCCAGCTTGTGTACTAGTAGAAAAAACGCGCGCGTAAAATCGATACCCACCTCTTGTATACGTGTGCTGATGAGGTGCCGCTAAGAGGAAAAAGCTACCAAAGTTCCCTTAACCCCGAAACCGTTGAGGTATTTGGGACTGGCGGCATAGCGAATCGGCTCCAGGAGAATCGATTTTACGCGTTGGCGGGGGACGCTACCAAGAAGTCATTAACGACGATCTTATTAAACTATGGTATTATTAATTAATCTTATTCATGCACATATCTTTGTCTCCGGTATTTCTCTTCCATCCCCTTGATTTTTCTTGATTTTTGGTTTCAAACGCTCTGATGAGAAATCATCGAAATTGCTTACAATTCATTTTTCTCCGTTTTGACGCACAGGTACATAAAAGCACGATTCCGTCAACTCTTTCTTCTGTTTGGCAAGAGGCGGAGTTCCCCATATTCCCTACTTTGGTCGCTGTGACTTTTGGTGTTTTATAGTTTTTAAAGTTGTGGGGAATTCAGCAATAATAACCCCAGCTCGGATGTCCTTTTCTTGGTTCCGAATAATTCCTTTGTGATGTTTTATTTACCTTTTCATTCTGTAGACGACCGTATTTGGATAATGTTAGTGGGTAAACCGTATCTTGGAACAAACTCAACAAACAGCCTGTTCAACTTTCATAATTTCTGAAATCCTGTAATGGAAAGAGGGTTGGGTCGCTGTCTCAATTTTCGCTTAAAACTTAGTTCCATTGATTTTCGTTCTTCCTTTGTTTTCTCAGGGCGGACATCAGGTCCAGGCTCTCGCCACGCGAACTCGTCGCGCATCGTACGGTGCCGCGGCAAGCGGATAGCAATGCATGTTTCCGGTCATTCGCAGTACGAGGCGGCCTCCATTTTTCATCCTTCTCTCAAATCTTTCTCTTTGAAATGATTTTTTGAATGCGTGACCAGAAGTCGACCTATGAATCATTCCTTACTTTCAGTATAACTTCGTGTGAATTTATCAATCCGTACAGAACTGGATACACTGTCTGGTAACTGACAATTAGTCATTTTGCTCTGCTCCGCTTTGCAAGTTAAGGAACGCAATCATCATTTCACATTGAAGGCAAACTGAAAAAGGGTATCTCATGGCTTGATTCCTGGAATTAAATTAAGTTCGCCTGTATTACCTGTCAGCCCTTTGGACGAGGAAATTCGATTTTCTCGAGTAAATGCCAGTAACGTCTTCATTCGTCCCTTTCGCCAGCCGGTGTAGACCAGTGAATCGTGTACGCTCGAGGGACATAAGGCATAGCATTCTTCTCGCGAAGTCTGAACATCGCGCTGGCTTCCGTCCTGGTGTTCGATTGACGTCCCGAGGGAACTAGTCAGCAACCACCCTGATCCAACGGTCATCACAATAGCACGAATTCAAATAAATTCCCAAATCTGTTTTTCATACAAAATTGGTGTTTTACCTAGGCTTGTTCGGTATACGCCCTGCATTTGACTACTATTTATAGTCGTTAAAACATTCTAACATTTTTTTCGAAGACTATCTCGACTTTGTGCCGGGCCTTTGTTCAAGTAGGAAATGTGGCTCTCCTTTCTTCAAACTCTTACGCTGACCTTCTGGTGTCGTGTTTAAAAGGTATACATTATATTTATTTTGTGAGGCAAAACATGAAAATTCGTAGGATTAAATATAGGCTTAAAAAAGGAGCTCTTTACCAACTATTTATAAGTCAACACGGTGGCGACGAAAAGTCTGAAGACAATACCGTCCGTCGATTCTGCAGCCTTGCAGACTGTGTAAGCGCTCGTGGCATCCAAAACACTGCTGTTTTTGTTTCACATCCTTCGGCTTCCACTCATATCTTGCTACTTGATAGTACTTGGTCTGTACTGGACCCACGCGAATAGAATGTAGAAGTAACTGCAAGAGTAAGAATGATTACTGCGGAGAGCCTCAGGCTGTAATACTATAGTAAGCTGACTTCGCAAGAAACTGATTAGTTCTGCTCTAGTCATCGGACTCCCCCTCTCTTTCTCCCTCTCTTTACTGCCGCGGTGGTCCACTTTTTGCGCCGGACAGCTTCTACTCCTACCCATGACCGTTTCATCTCTGAAGCTGGTCTCGGTGGTCTTTGATTTCTATGTAGGTGTTTCTTGTAGCACTCTGCAACCAAGAAGCTCAGATGCTAAATTGTTTTCTAAGTTTTTCCAAAAATGGAAGAGTCATGGCTCTTCCATCTCGAAGAGGTTGAATAGCCTTCGGCTTTATTCACGATCCTCGATTTTGAGCACTTTTATGGCCTCTCGAACCACCTTGGCACCCTTACTCCCGTTGCTTTTACACATTCTTGTTTACGACCGAGAATTTGTTCCCAATAAGGTTGACAGGGCTTTCGTTGGGAGAGTTCTAGAGCCTTTCTGTAAGTGGTACATCGTAGGAACCTACACTTTGTTCGTAGTGAGTTTTTTGAGCTACATGGATCTTCTGTGATCTGCATTACGCTACTACCAGCGCTTAGATTACTATCAGTGTGGCGGAAGCTCTGTGCTGGCGATGCCCTCCGTCGCTCTTCCAGGAGTGGGCCCTATTTTCACATTATAGTGTTCAGTATGCGCAAATTGTGGCTGGTGGTAATGGTTTATGCTGTAATGAACAGTTTTACA